TTGAAGTCAATGGCTAAAACAACATGAGTAAATGGGTTTTAGTCCCCTGAGTGTTTTCGAACCATTCTACAGTGGTGGAGTGGAAATTAAGTGACGAGAAGCCGAAAAAAAAATGTCAGGTGCTAGGCCAACATGGAAAAGGACAACCCTCGCTGTGTGTACTTACACTTGTAGGTCGCTGGCGAGGGACGAAACGTTAAACCATCTGATGAAGGAAAAGAAAAGGATAAGATGCGACATCCTCTGTGTCTGCGAAACCCGATGAAAGAAGGGAGTTGGAAGTCAACTGGAAGGATGGAAGTGATGTGAGGCTTGGAAAGGGAGATGGTGCTAGAAACATTGGGGGAGTCGGATTTATCATCAGTAAGGACTGGTCTTTGAAAGTTATATCATACCAGCTAATATCATTTATTGGTGTGCATCTTCAGATAGAGTCAAAGGCTACCCTCAAGGTCATCCAGGCCTATGCCCCCACAAGTGCAAGTGAAGACAAAGAAGTGGAAGAATTTTACTGAGAGCTCGAAAGAGCCCTTGCACAAAAGTCCACTTACACTGTCACAATGGGAGACTTTAATGCAAAGGTCGGACGAGGGAAAGCTGGCAAAAAGTTTATAGGGAGATATGGCAGTGGTGAAAGGAATGAAAGAGGAGAAAAGTTAGTAGCAATGGCAGAAATGAAAGAACTGTACGTGGCAAACACCTGGTATAAAAAGAAGATCGCAAAAAGGTGGACGTGGATCGCACCAAATGCGAAGAGCAAGAATGAAATATTTGACTATATTTAGTCAATAAAAGGCGCATCATCCAAGACATCTCTGTGGTGCAGCCTTTCAACATCGGCAGTGACCATCGCTTGCTTAGAGCGAAGTTGATTTTCGACAAAGTAGTGGAAAAGAAGGCATTACAGTTGGCAAATAGGAAACAGCGGTCGAAGACATTTGATGAAGCAAAGCTGAAGAAAGCAATTTCTGGGTTTGACTGGAGCAGACAGAAAAGTGTGATGAGGATTATAGTATTTTTTGCTGACAAGCTGAGACGTTGCTTAAAAGTAGCTGAAATTGAAAAGTCGAAGAAGGTAAAGGGAAGAATCTTGAAGGAAACGAAAAGCCTGCTGGAGAAGTGGAGAAACATAAAAAGGAGCTCTGATAGTAACATCGAGTACTCCATTCTATGCAAGCTTATATGGCAAAAGCTGAAGGATGACTTTGAGAACGTCCGGAAAGGACAACTCCTCAAAACAGCTGAATCACAGAAAAGCCTCAGGACATGCAAGCGGGAATTGACGCAGTATAGACTGAGCATAACAGCACTGAAGAACAGGTCCCCCTAATAATGGTCAGCGAAATCTGAAGTGCACTATACCAGATGAAGAAGGGAAAAGCTCCAGGAAAAGATGGAATAATGTCAGAAATGATTTCTGCAGGAGGCGAAAAACTTTGGAAGGCCCTTGCTTTAAGATTCAGTCGATATCCTGAAGAAGGAAAAATACCATCAAGCTGGAAGGAGTCAAATACCATCTTGCTGCACAAGAAGGGTGATCGAGAAAATCTTAAGAATTACCGCCCTATATGCCTACACTCTCATATTTACAAGCTCTTTACAAAGGTGATAACAAACTGACTTTCACAGAGCTTGGATGAACAACAGTCGAGAGAGCAGGCAGGGTTTCGAAGAAATTTCAGCATGATCGACCATATATTTACTCTTAGCCAGCTCCTAGAAAGAGCAAGGGAATACAAACTTCCGCTTTGCATTGCTTTTGTCGACTATGAAAAGGCCTTCGATAGCGCTGAGTTCAATGCAATATTAAAAGCGCTCGTAGAGCAGGGCATTAACGCACAATACATCAATTTGTTGAAGGAAGCGAATACTGGATGTACAACAGGTATTACTCTCCTCGGAACTCCCCATCGTATCCCAATCGAGAAAGGCGTGAAGCAAGGAGATATGATTTCACCGAAACTATTCACTGCATGCTTCGAAATGGTTATGAACAAGATCAATTGGAGGAGTGGTGTCAACATAAATGGAGAACGATTATCTCATCTCAGATTCACGGATGACATAGTATTAATTACCGAAAGCACCAACCAATTGCAGAGCCTGCTACGAAGACTTGACAAGAAAAGCAGTCAGGTCGGTCTGAAAATGAATCACTGCAAAACAAAATATATGCGATCAGACGTCATACAAAAAACCCGAATAACAATAACAGGAGAAGAAATTGAAGAAGTGGAACAGTATATATATTTGGGCCAAGAAGTTAATGTGTGCCAAGACCTAAACAGAGAACTATCGCAAAGGATTCGGGCAGGATGGTGTGCATTCATTTCCATCAAGGACATCCTCAAAGGAAAAATCGATAAGACCACACGTACAAATATCTTCAATTCAACAGTGCTGCCAGCCATGTTGTATGGCAGCAAAACGTGGGCCCTGACGAAGAGAGAAGAGCAGCGACTATTGGTAGCTGAAAGGGCAATGGAGCGAGCTATGTTGGGAATTTCCCTTCTGGATCGAATTCTAAATGAAATGATCAGAGAACGCAGCGGTGTGAAAGATATTATCGTGGAAAGCAGACATAATTATTGCTGAGCGGTACCCGTGAGAACAGAAAAGACCACCCGGTCGGCCTCCAAGAAGATGGGAAGATGACATTGTTAAATGTTTTGGACGAACGTGGAGAAGAAAGGCAAGAGTAGGAGAAGAATGGTGGATGTGTTGTGATCGATGCAATCTTAACGACAGCTGAAGACTGATCAAGCCAGGTGATCCAGATGACTCAATATTGTGTCTTTGTTCTTTTATAAAAGAAGTTGCAAAAACACTGACTCTGAATTTGCAGGTACAGTGGATTTGATGACCTCACACATTTTTCTCCATATCCAATTTTCATGGTTCTTATACAAATGCAAATAGGGTCCTGACAGATACAGCTGCATCTTAGTCTAAAGTACATTTAGGCTACGTCTACACTGGCATGAATGTCCGAAAATGCTTTTAACGGAAAAGTTTTCCATTAAAAGCATTTTCGGAAAAGCGCGTCTAGATTGGCAGGATGCTTTTCCGCAAAAGCACCTTTTGCGGAAAAGCATCCGTGGCCAATCTAGACACGGTTTTCCGGAAAAAAGCCCCGATCGCCTTTTTCACGATCGGGGCTTTTTTGCGGAAAACAGCACTATGCTGTCTACACTGGCTCTTTTGCGCAAAAGTCTTTCGGAAAAAGACTTTTGCCCAAACGGGAGCAGCATAGTTTTTCCTGAAAAGCACTGATGATTTTACATGAGATCGTCAGTGCTTTTCCGGAAATTCAAGCGGCCAGTGTAGACAGCTGGCAAGTTTTTCCGCAAAATCATTACTTACCAGATTAGACACAGCCTTATTGTATAAATCCACTGGTTTGTATGCCAAAGGATACAGTTATGATTACTGTCAAATCCTGATAAGTTTATATAATATAGTTTAAAGAATATTAAATTCTGCTCTTGAAATGTAAACTCAAGTCTGATTCTGACTTCCCTCCTGATGATTTTATCCTATCACGCCTTGTTTTTTCACTACAGTTGATGATTTAAAATTGTAGGACAGTTTCCATATTAATCACTGGAATGCAGTAAAATTGATTTACCACTATAGGTAAGAAGTTTTTTCAGTTTGACATATTGGATCATAGAAAGCTGCGTACTATTTTATAGCCAACAGCAATGACAAACAAAAAAATCACCTCAGTTTCCAAAACCCTTATTCATCCATATTTGCTAGGGGGAAACAAGAGTTTGTTCAAATTTTGTATAGATTATATATTCATATGCAGAATCAATTTAAAACAACTCATATAATAGGAGAACCCAAAGATATTTGCAACAATGTATGAATGCCTATCTTACATTAGGATAAATAGATTAAAAACTAATTTTAAAATTTATTAGTGAACAAAGTCAAACTACAAAAATCCAAAAGGAAAATGTGCTGAGTCAGGAAATGAGCCTGAGAGTTCTTATTGATGCAAGTAGTTCTTATGCAAAGAAATAGTGCCACTGAAAAATGGAATTACTCATCAGTAGAAGGTTGCCGGTTCAAAGCTTTTTCCACCACCTCCTTAAAATATTATCACCGTTCTATACTGTGAAGGTGAAATTCTGCTCTTGGTTGCATACTTGCAGCACTCACTGAGGAATGGGAGTTGCACTGCACAAGAGCAGAATTTTGTCTGTAGCTAATGCTGATTCTAGTAGGAGCCATACATTCACAGGAGAGAAGAAGTTGATGAAAAAAAAGGGAAGAGTCAGAAGAGACTATGTAGGTCATCTATTACGAATCATTGTATTGTGCTTTACTTCTCCCTATATCTTTTCCACTAATATCTTTTGATTACTACACAGTATTTGGTCCTGCCATGAGGGCAGGGGACTGGACTCGATGACCTCTGAAGGTCCCTTCCAGTCCTAGTATTCTATGATTCTATGATTTTCAGGCATGTATGTAGGCATGAATACACACAATATACT